ACAGTCGCTTCAGATGTTTTTCATCACTGTTGCGCCGTTTTGCAGCCTTGTAGAAACTCTTCCAATGCATACTTAATCGTCATTCCTTTGTACACAGTAGTTATTCGTTTTATCTTGTTGTTTCTCTTACCTTGGTCGCATTATTTCTCATCTCTGTTGCATCCGCGCGTGCAACGTTATGGTTATCGAAATGTGCATAGGTCTTAAAATAAAATGAACGTACGGTCGGAGAATTCCTCAAGTAATATTTGGGATTGATTCCAACTGGATGCATCCTCCTACAGTGGCTGTCATTAGGGTTGGCTTAGTACATATTCCCTTTGAGTAGCTCTGCACTTTNGGAAAATCGATAGTTCAATGGTCACCATGAGTTCGAGGTATATCAAGGCTATTGAGGTTCGTCTTGGCTTCAAATGAAATGCATAGTATTGGGCAAACACTTCTACAATCGGAGGGTACTCAGACTATGAAACTATGCAGAAATCCTGGTCAATATCGCATTCACTTGAGAAGCGATATGAAGAGAATAAGTAACAATGAGATGTGCAAGAGTAAGGATGGAAAGCCTGTCGTGCACTGAAAGCGATATAAGTTATTCCGATTAGTCGTTTGCTGTTTTGATTCGCTATTTGACATCATTTTCCAAATGCATTGTTTGTGCTTAGTAGTCAAACATGTAACTGTGTCGCCTTTTCGCTGGGATTTATTTTACAGCGATTTATTTGTGTTGCGATTAATAATGGAATAGAATTTAATGCCGACAAACACCTGATCTTCTGTTGCACTTACGTAGATCTCTTGCCCAGGATCTTTCTTTGCGCATTCTAGGCGATAAATGAGTTTCCCGAAAGTATTCCCAGTACCGGATGTGGATCAAAGAAGAATCATTGAGTCTCTCCATCTGTCACTGTGGTTGCACATTTCCCTGTAATTTTACTACTCCCGGAGTTTATTTTTCGCTGTATATGCTGTGAGATATGTATCTTTTATTTTTTGCATTCTGCGCGATAAAACACGGTTCGAAAGCAATCAATTAAATGCGCATCTAAAACCAACGAACAACAGTAAAATCCTCAAGGTCACAGATGTTAGATGAGACTGAGCAAGTGTGACAATGGATGTCCACTGATGCAAATCAAATGTATTCTTTTCCTCCAATTAGAATTGAGGCACTGCCGTACCAGGCAGAGAAAAAATTGGTATAAATCGTTGATTTGAACAGAAAGCGAAGAATAACCTTGATTAGGTACGTGACCGTAATGCTTGGATAGATACAATTTTGTGATTATTGGTTCCTGACCGAGACCACAGGTTCGTCAGCAGTGTATCAGTGATAACTCCGAAAGCTACTGTTGACATTATCCCAGTTCCAGGATCATGACACGTTAGCAAAGATGAGTTATGTTGTATCGCGTATGGATATGGTAAAACATTTTGACCAACTGCCAATGTTCAAGTGCTTGTGTGTCAATTTGGATAGATGGATTCGTAATGGTGATGAGACCGAACAAATAGTATTAGGTTTCAGACTGAATATTCACGTTGCATTTTTATTATTTGGAAATGGCATTACTTTCTCATGCAACCACGTACATCCTTGATTAGTAAATTACGCTCCGTTTTTGTGTAACAGACTTAGCTTCACCTGTCAACTAACTAGTTATTAGAGAACTTAGATTTCAACAAAGATTCTGAGAAATGCAAACATTTAACCCAGGAGAACAAAAGTGGTAATATTTCAGTACTTGCGAGGACATATTGCAAAAACCATACGAAATATCGTTAGGTTTTGAAGCTATCATGACCCGCGAATGATTACAATTATCTGAACAGCACGCGAATGACGTTCACAGTAATAAGTAAAATCTTAAAATTACTCCGCTAAATCATATTCATATGCCGAGAAGGACTACTCACCGTTGCCGATCCATTTCCACGCTGGACTTCCACAACCAAACAGAGCTAAACCGACCCCGAATATGGCCACACAAAACCCCCAACTACGAGTCCGAATGAATAACTCGTGTTCATGGTAATCGTTTAATAGTTGCCACTGTTGTGGGGTCAAATGTACCGAACGCGTCTGACTTGCATAAGTCGAGGGACGTTTGTGCTGAATCCCTGAACCACTTTGTTCACTCTCTTCGCGAGCTGCATCTGCGTTGGCCACAGTCGCCTGGAGAGCGATCTCAAATAGACGAGAAGATGTGTTGAGTGTATTCCGTCCGGTGGGTGTCTCACCCGTGGTGGTGCGTAAAGCGTTTACGTGGATATGATTAGCTGAATCCATCTAAAAAAAACAGGACAAATCATGACTGTTAAACACAAGAAAGACGAAGGAACCTTTAGTTCGTTCAGTAATACTAATTTCGGACTGTTCAGAACACGTCTCATCATTAGACAGTAAAAAGTTGCCAGGCTCTGTAGATCTTATAGTGTTATTTACCGCTTCCTGAACACCAGTAGTCGGGTTGGGAATGCACGTAACTGGATCATAACCTTCAAAGGTCAGTACGGAGAGGAAAAATATAGGAGGCTTGAAACCAAGCTGAAAAGATGGATTATGATTTATCGCGTGCACTGGTCTTGTGATCCACTGGGTTGCGTTTTATCTGTCAGTGGCTACTTTCCTTCCTTAGATTGGCGTGGATAGATTCATACTATTGGTGGAGCTAACAAGGAAGACCGAGTTCCACGGTATACTCTACCTTTTTTCCGCGTTCTCTTTCCTTAGAAGATGGCAAAACCAAGAATGTTGTCAAACATGTGTGAAGAATTAAACGATATTCTATTGCAGCATGATGTTAGCTCGCATTTTCCGAAACCGAAAAAGTAGAAGGAAACCTGACGAATTTTCAAAAAACCAACGGAACTGAAGCAACAAAATCCCCATTTTCATTATTTTGCTCACACCTTTAACTATGAACGTGTTTTAATAACGTGTTACGAGGTTCAAATGAAACCACGAAATGCGGGTGACTTGTATAAATAAAATGTTGAAGAAATCAGTAATGTTTCATTTCAGAAAACTGAAACATTTGGATCCCGTAATGAACTTGAACAGGCAATTCAGAATACAAATACTGCGAGGGGAATTCCTTCGGATACTTTCATCGGTCGCGTACGTATAACATTGAACAAGATAGAAAACTGAAGGGAATTAATAACTCTGGTTAGTATTAACCGCGTGTGTGCGTGCGTAATTGGTATAGTGTGTTTGTATGATGCACGCGACCAGAGCAGGCCAAGGATAAAGGTCATACGCTTTTCGACGCATAGCGTGGATTAGTTGTGAGCGATCGATAATGACGCCAGGTGGTGTTTGTCTCAATGACGTAACAAAATCGAGAACCTCTTTCAACCAAGTGCTGTGCGATGACCAAAGTCGGTCTACGTGATGCAGTCAGAATCTGTGATGGGGGCTGAGTCATAGAATCACGCACATACTTGGGGATGTGCTCAGCCATCCTAGATCGCAGTGATCGGTCGGTTCTACCAATGTATGCTTCGTTGCAGCTGCAGCAGAAGGCGTAAACGCAATGAGACGACGACCTTTGAATGGGGGTAGGGGGAGGTGCTTTTGTCATACAAATGTCAACTGAAACTAACGAAATCCAAAACAAACTACTATAACCTCCAATCATTTTGACTGCTCGGTGGAGCTGTTCTTCAGTGTATGAGTTCTGCTGATTTTTATTTAATGTGTTTTGGAAGCTAGCCATAACGGTTTGAGGTAGATTAGAGAATGCAGACTCTGGAACGTCTTTACAGAACTGTAATATATACACACAGCAGAAGACGCTAATATTGCATAGGGTACTTACAATTATGCCTCATCGCTGTCGAATCAATAATTTCAACGATAGTAAAATGGGTGGTTTGATAAGGCATGATGCTGATTTTTGAAACCGAATTAGAGTTTTTCTTAGTGCAGCGTAAAACACCATTGCTTAACCACTCGTGAACACTATGAGTTGTTTAAAATCAAACTATCTAATAACCTCAGGGTTAGACTTACTGTTTATAAAAAAATCGATAAATTACAGTTTTGATTTTGTTGTTTAATGCAATAATTATAGTAAGATCTAAGGTAATCAGTAGGCCTAATGTTTACACTTCAGTCAAAAGTATGCACAGCAAAGAAAATGAAAAATAGGTTAAGTAGCAAAATGTTTTGAGATGAAATAGCTCAATTCATTAATTTTTCAATCGCAGAACTCGAATCTCGTGGATATAATTCACTTGATAATACAGAATATACCCTTATTGTTCCACATTTTTCTTCGTCTACAAAAACGGTTAGCTGTGGAGTATTTATATCAATCGATCGGGTTTATGGCGCGCAGACTATGAAAAACATCCAAATAGATGTATGAAGCAAATCGAACGACAGTGGCCACGTCGGAAAATTATAGTATTTAGTTCGTAAACCTGCACCGTTGTGTGAATGAACAGATGTCTAGAATTCACCCCCCGAACAAATTGATGGAGTGAAAGGAATTAAATATTATAATATGTTAAAAAATATGAATTCATAGTTATAGCGCAGAACAGTAATTACATCTGAGAACGAGAAGTTGGATGAAAAATTTACTATCCTGGATATACAGTGGAGTAGGGTTTACGACTCTGAAGTTGACAATGTGAGCAATAAAAAGGTTTTGAATTTCATACACTCGAATAATGCCACCAGTAGACACATCTGAGGTTACGTAGTTCGATAAGATTAATAATTTCTCAAAGATAATAATTTTCTCCTTCGCTGTTAACTAGTTTAATCGTCAAAGTAAAACACCTGATTAGGTTTAGACGTGCAAACTCAGTGACAGAACCCTTTGTATCGTCTCAGCGGACAAAACAAAAACTGGATAAATTTGAACATGAATAGGTGGAGATTGGTATATGATTCGCATTTGTGTCGCATTTAAATAGTGATGGAAAATTTCATCCTGAATATGTTTCAATGCAACTTTCAGGTGGATTGAACAACAGATCGTGAAACGAAGTGAGCCTGGAACAAAGAACAGGGTTGAATATCTGAAACGACCAGAAAACAAGTGCATAACTTCTTCGGTCGCTTGCAACATTTCTACATGTTTCAAATAGACATTTGATTTGAATCAAATAACAAAATGAGTTGACAAACTCATGTTTTTGGTTATTTATTTTTAAATCGGTTCACAATTATCTCCTTAATATATTACACTGGCAGTGGGAGGAGCATTAGGTCGAATTGTCGAACGGTTTTGATAATTCGATTGATTGTTCAAACATTTAACTGATTAAGAGTGACCAGTGGGGGGTTCCAAATAGAAAGTTACAATCATAATAGTGAACAAATCAATGAAGTGGATCAATAAAAAAAATATCGCAAGCGAAGTTACCAATCTTGGATCGAAGGAAGTTAATAGGGTTAATAGGCTTATTTCAAAACAGCAGTTTAATAATAAGAACCGTAGCCGATCTGTCCGTCAATAATTTTCGGCAGTTGTTAGCGTAGCTTCTTCGACGTGATAATTTGTGAATAATACGACTAGAGATTAAAATTAAATTGATTTGTGGCACTGAACAGTTTGCAAACTTCTCACCATACTACTCGAAGCGGCCGGGAAGCTGGGTGAGAACCCGTTCACATTCTACTTACTGATTTATTACTTTGAGTTTTGCAATAGATTAAATATTATTTATAACAAAAATAAACTCAATTTTTGGAAAAATGCTCATAAGATTTACATATTCTATGGTATTATGAACATTCTTCTCATGCTTTTGATAGCTTTTTTTAGGTAAGAGAAAACATAATTCTCGAAGTAAACAAAACAAAACAAAACCTTTCCATTACGTTGTGACTGTCAGACAGGCCTTGTTTTTTCACCGGTCTATACATCGCGATTCGTTACACAAGACGTACAGGCTACAATAAAACAGTCAGGGATATTTAGCAGAACATTTTCTGAGTGCCACGTTTTCGTTTGATGAACACTGATCCAGACATTGCAATTTCCGTTTAGGAAAGCTGATCCGTTCGGATATTAAGAGAGAACAAACTTCGATCATGATAATATTGCAAAATAAGTGTAACAGTAGTGTTATGTTGTGACGCGATAACTATCTTTTATTTGCGTTTTGGCGGTTGTGTTTGAAAACGTAATCTAATATGGAGTTCAAATGGGACATTGATTCATGCATAACCCCCTTTCTACATGTCGCAAAGGATTCTGACTTCCGTTTTTGAATTAGAATTGCTGCAAAGTTTGACCTTCCTACATATCAGTTTTGAGCGCAGTAGTATTTGGTTTCGGGGCGTACAACAACCGCATCATCCAAAAAAAACATTTAATGATAACAATGATAAGAGTATAGCTGTTTCTCTTGAATAGATTTTCTCCAAGTGGCGTTTGACTTTAGCTACCAGCAAAATCAAGGAAATGCTTAAAGTTTTCAATTTTTATCAGGTTTTTAGGGCTTCAAATATCTGAATTAGTTCTAGAGTGATCCTTAATGGTCCTGATGTATAAACTCTTCGTGTACAGCTAGACGTTTTAATAAATCAGAATTGTAATCAGGTTTATATAAAACAAACGATAATGATTGTGTTAGTTAACTGATTAGGACTGACCATTCTTCGGTCTTCACCGTCACGCACATTCCTCAGCCCTAACAGTCAACCATATATTCGGAAGCATTAGGTTCGAGTTTTGTTCTTATTAGAGCTTATCAGCAGTTCATATCAATCGTTTCGTCCGGGATTCGTACTCCGGACCCATCTCATGGAAGGTGTGTGTGTTACCGCTGTGCCAACCAGCTCATGCCATAGCTGAACCGAATTGCCAATTCATGTTTGTTCAGGTGTCGCCTTCAGAGATATTCACTCAGTTCAATTTGGCCCGATAGCACTGAAGAGAGAGACAGTTGACTATCTGTTAACCCCAATCGAAAGCCTCCCACCAAGTCAGGTCTTTCTTGTGCATGATCTGATTGAGTGAGTATCACTTCTGTTGAGTTCAATAATTTCCGTATCGAAATTCATCGAGTCTCTTTGGCTTGCATCTCTATCTACTCAAACGAGCCTATACATCATAGTTTGGGCCACTGAACGAAACATGTGAGGACTTTCGAACCAAACATTCACGATCTCAATCCCAGTCATAGTATTGCGAAATTGTTGCCTATAAAGAGAGAAAACTACCGGTTTAGAGTTTATCGCTGTATAGAAGATGCTTTATTTACTTATGGTTATATCGGACTATCCAGAAATAAAACTCATCCAAAAAGTGGATACAGAGATTG